GCTGCCAGCGCTCGCTTCTGCTTTCCTGGTCTCCGCGGGAACGGTGGTTCTGTAAGTCTATTCCTCCAGTAAAGCTGTCTATATTTTGACAATCTGTCTGCATTCGCTTACGCCGTTACACATCTGTAACTTCAGTTCCAGAGACTCTGACAGCCCCTCTTCTGTCCTCACAGGCACTAGGCCAGTGCTACACATACCTATACGGAAGCAAACACTCATTCATGTAGAATCAGATAAACACATTTAAAAACAAAAACCCAAAATGGAACAAGTGAACAAACATGCCATGCCCACAATCATACAAAAATAAGTGAAAACCTTTATAAAAAGAAACGTTTTTTGGTTTTCTTTTTAATTTTTATATACAGTGGTGTTTGACCAGCGAAGTTTTTGTACTGGAGTCAGATCCACTGGAACTTGAGTTACAGACAGTTGTGAGCTGCCATGTGGGTGCTGGGAATTGAACCCAGGTCCCCTGGAAGAGCAGCCAATGCTCTTAACCACTGAGTCATCTCTCCAGCCCTTCGTTTGTTTCTTGAAACAGGGTTTCTCTGTGTAAACAGCCCTGATGTGGGAGTGTCATATATCAATCTGTTGATTTCACTGATTAAGCAATAAAGAAACTGCTTGGCCCTGATAGGTTAAAACATAGGTGGGAGAAGTAAACAGAACAGAATGCTGGGAGGAAGAGGAAGTGAGCTCANGGGAACAGTAGGAATGGAAAGATAATAATACATTGTATATATGCATGAAATTTTCAAATAAATTAATAAATAATTTTTCAAGAATCATGATCAAAACTACAGCAATAGGTTGTCCCTTTCAAGAACCTATGACTTCCATAGTCATGAATTTTTAAGGAAAGTTATAGTACCTGAATATAGTACATAAACTTATAGTACCTGAATATAGAACGTGAAATTATAGTATCTGAATATAATATATGAATTCCCTTCTTTAGAGCACATCTCAATTCCAGGTAGAAAGCAATTAGTGGCCCCTATAGCAATTGGGCCACTATTGCATTAGTGAATTCTGCTTGTCTAGCAAATTGATATTGTAGCATGCATGATGTGGGAGTGTCATATCAATCTGTTGATTTCATTGGTTAAGCAATAAAGAAACTGCTTGGCCCTGATAGGTTAAAACATAGGTGGGAGAAGTAAACAGAACAGAATGCTGGGAGGAAGAGGAAGTGAGCTCAGAGAAACCATGCTCTTCTCTCCCGGGAAGACACATGCGATGAAGCTCAGGATGGACGTAGGCTAGAATCTTCCCGGTAAGCACACCTTGGGGTGCTTACACACATTATTAGAAATGGGCTAGTCCTGGTGCGCGAGTTAGCCAAGAAGAGGCTGGATATAATGGGCCAGGCAGTGTTTAAAAGAATACAGTGTCTGTTTAATTATTTCGGGGCATAAGCTAGCAGGCGGCCAGGGTGCTGGGGAAGCAGCCCCGACACTCATATTACAACACAGCCCTGCCTGTCCTGGTCACTCTGTAGACCAGGCTGGTATCGAACTTAGAGATCCACCTGCCTCTGCCCCGAGTGCTGGGGTTGTCGCTCTTCAGTACCACACACAGAACCTACATAGAACAGGCCCATTCCACCACTCTTGGTCCACTTCTTCTTCTTCTTTTTTTTTCTTTTCTTTTTTTTTTTTAAAGACAGGGTTTCTCTGTGTAACAGTCCTGGTTGCTGTCCTGAAACTCACTCTGTAGACCAGGCTGGCTTTGAACTCACAGAGATCCACCTGCCTCTGCCTCCCAAGCACTGGGATTTAAAGACAGAGATCCACCTGCCTCTGCCTCCCAAGCACTGGGATTTAAAGGCGTGTAGAAAACTTCTGCAGTAAAATCTACATTTGTTTTCTTTTAATAACTTGTTTTTATTCCTATCCTTACTCTCACTTTTGAAAACTTTAAACATTGATTTCCAGCAACCTAACTACATCCTTTCTATTTTTAACCATTTCCAGTGGGGCTAGCATCACCTGAAGAACGGCAGCAGCCTAACAAAGCCCACTCCCTGAAGTCTAATGGCTCAAAGCCTCCTGGGAAACCACGATCCCCAGACACTTTAACCAATCTAACAACTATGCACATAGAAAAAGCTGTCTGCAAACACAAAACACACAAGTTGGAAAAAATTGGAGCTCCCTAAGAGAAAACACTCTACCATGTACCTTTCTAAATTTCACTGAAATTGTTATAAAATGTTATGGGTCAAATAATGCCATAAAGTCTGTTTACATTTTTAAAATGGAAATGTTTAACATAACAATATTTAGCATTCAGAAAAGCCTTTATAAATAATAGTCTGTACTTGTCACTTCATGTGAATATAACATAAGGCCATTATAAAAGGTCAATGAAGTTTGGTTCATCCATCTTTTCTACAGCTATTAAAGTCAAATGACATCTGCTACTACACCACACTTCTAAGGCAGAGCTTGTCTAGTTACCACCATGAAAGCAAAGGTCACCCTACAAATGTGCGGGCAGGCAAAGACTTTTGCACTTCGGTGGCTGTTTGGTTTATTTAGTACATGGTTCGGTTTGGTGTTTTGAGACAGGGTTTTAAGTAGTCCATAATGGCCTAAAACTCACTGAGTAGCAGAGGATAACTTTGAAGTTTTAACCCTTCTGCTCCCCAAATGCTGGGACTGTAGGCCTATCTCACCATGCCCTGTTGGCAAAGCACTGTTTTTCATCTGTTTATTTAAAATCTCTGTATACTTGTGAGCACATAAAGGGGAAAACCATGGTTCCCAAAGAAACAAACATTTAAGAGAAGAAACACCCTTTTGTATTTTCTGTTTCTTATCTATTCCTTCAATTGCAACCCAAAGATTCAGTTTTCACAAAGAAAAGCCAAGATTTCAAAAAAATAAAAATCAATGAGTTCATTAATGATGGCTAAATCATCAGGTACTCTATTAGTTCATGAGCTATACACTTTGAGTTAAATGACCAAATTCAAATCAGTTGCTGGTCCATCAACTAGCTGATTAGACAGGGAATTATTTAGAGAGAAGCCATTTCTCTCTCTCCCTTTCTCCATCCCTCCCTCTCTCTCATACACATACACACACACACACACACCCCTTTGAACTTTGTGGAGTAGTCAACATATATCTCTAACAGGGCAGTAAACCACTCCCACTTTCTATCACACAGATGGGGGGAGGGCACAACGCAGGCCTTTGCAGGGCACTAACAAGATAAGCATTCACTTAGAACCTAAGTTGCCTCCTGTAGCAGTAGAAACAAAGGGCACAAAGATATATTAAAAGATATTTGGGAGATATAGGCAAATTATTGCAGCACTTATCTAAATTTCAACCTTTTGCATAGGGTTATAAAAAATAGCTTTAATCAAAGGAACTAAAAAAAACTGCACCGACATATTTTTATTTATGTTTTTTCTTGCTTTTACTGTTGGACTTTTAATGATTTGATAAACCAGGTGTACATCCTCCATGCATAAATCAAGTTAACTGCTGTCATTTAGAAGGTTGTTAAAGCTTTATACCCATATTATTAATTCACTGGACTTTAAAAAAATCAATTTTCATTCAATTTTCTTTGCAAATTCTATGCTTTAAGGAATTAACTCACCTACTAATTGACACCTTAAACTCTAACTTGTTGGGGAAATCCACGGTTTTTCCTTCAAACCTACTCTCTACAGATATATCTGTATCCCCAAATGGGCAGTGATATAATAATGTAACTTCAACTGTGAACATAAAAACTCCCAGAAACCCAATTCAAACACACCAAATCCTACTCAGCTAAAATGTCCTTCAGACCACAAAGATCAAAGGTCGGAATACTTAGACACTGTAGATACTGACAAGGCCTACAGCATTACAAAAACACAGCATCCTAACTAAACCGCCCACAACACGGAGGTCACATACCTGCTATTCTTCAGTTATTAATACCACCCCTTTCACATTCTAAGAGATCCTGCTATGAGGGGAAATTCACTGGCTGGGATAGAAGTAAGAATGGTGGGTGTCTTGGGGAAGGGGCAGGAGTTTACTTAATTCCAGGAAACCCTTTGGGGGTGAGGGCTGAAAACCTTCCATTTATTAATGTGTATGTGGCCATCAGGATATACGTAAGCAAAACAAAGCTGCATTGTCCTCTTAGGACTTCACTATTAACAGGCAATTTCTTATTTTTAAAACACTTTAAAATTTTTATTTATGTGCATTAGTGTTTTGCCTGCATGTATGTCTGTGTGAGGGTGTAGCTCCCTAGAACTGGAGCTCCAGACAGTTGTGAGCCACGTGGGTGCTGGGAATTGAACTCGGGTCCTCCGGAAGAACAGTTAGTGAGTGGTCTTAACCGCTGAGCAATCCAGCCCCAAAAAGCTAATTAATTTCTTAAGTGGATTGAAAGGCCATCTCTAAATGCCTATGTCCAAATAAAATTCACAAAATTATCCTGGCTATAGCTAATAAGATGGCTTTTCCAATCTACTTTTATAAAGACATATCGTAAGGGCTTTCGAAACGCTTAAATCCCATTTTAAGAATTCTCCAAATCTTAGAACCAAAAGAAGGGTGATCTACTTATCCTACTTTTGCAAACAAGGAAAATCAAATCTCCACTGGGTAGAAACCTACCCCAAGATAAGGTAGCTTGTCAACAATGTAATAACACAACCGTTTCCCCTCTAGCTCCAACTAGCCGCTATGTTCGTGACGTTGCAAACAAATCTGAACTCTGAATCTACCTGTGGCCTAGAAGCGCTCAACATCTGCCACAAGTTAACAGGCCCCAATATGGATTTATGAAAACACATTCATCTTCCATCCTATCAAGACAGCTGACAAGCCAACAGTTACATGCTCAGGCATTTTGCTTCAGATGAAATAAAGTTAAGCATGACATCTTAAAAATCGTGATTCGGGAGAGGACATACGCAGATATTGACAAAATGCATCTTACTTCCTTCAAATCCTTTTGATGAATACAGGACTCACCAGACACCACTGTGGTCATTAATGGCTTTGAGTGACCCGCGAGGAAGAGCTCCCACCAAGTAAAAAAGCCCTACTGGAGACAGAAGCGTCCCAGCCCACTCTGGGCGCACAGAAAGCTCTAGGGGTGACCTGGGCTTGACAGCTTAGTGCGAGACCCCACGCGAACAGCTGGCGTCTTGGGAAAAACTTAACACGACGTCCATCCTTTCCGCGGGAATTTATTTCTCGTCTCACAAGGCTTTTCTGCTCCGCAAAGAGCAGGCCTTGCTTCGCAGGACGCTCGGCTCGTCCCTCCAGTCGTCTTTACGGCGAACAAAACAAGACTCGGGAACAGAAATCGAAACGGTCATGGACCTGCCGAGCGGCCTCGGGACGCTGACCACGGGTCCGCGCGGGGGGTCGGGCGGCGGCGCCTCTCGATCCGCAGCGCCGGGGAGGCCGGAGCCACCGGTTGCGGCGGAGGCAAAGCCGCTCGGCCACCGCGCGGCTGCTGCCTGGGCCCAGCGAAGTTGAGCGGCAGCGCGGGCTGCGGGTTCGCGCCCCGCCCGGAGCGAGCCCGGGGGGGGGGGGCGGGTCCGCGGGGGCTCGGCGGGAGGGAGCTCGATGGGGAGCTGGGGGCGGGGGGGAACCGGAGCCCGCAACTTGGGCGCCCGCTGCTGCCACCCGGCCACTTCGGCCTCCCGCGCCCAGCTGTGTGCCGACGCGCGCCGCTCGCCGGTCCACTCGCCCCGGGCCACCAGCCTCCGCCGCGGCCGCGAGGTGCCCGGGCGCGTCCCCGTAGCCCCGGCGGCCGGCGCGCCGAACCTCGGGGCCGCGCCAGGCCGCGCGCTGGCGCCGCGTTACCCCCCGCCGTACCCCCGCCCCACGCGCCGCCGCCGCCCGTTGGCGCCTCCAGCCGCGCGGCCGCCCCCCGCCGGGTCCCGGCGGTTCCCGCTGGCAAAGTTGCTCGGCCTCTCCGGGACAGAGCCGCACCGCCCCTCAGGCCGCCGCCCGCGCGGGAAGGCCCAGCCGGTCGCGCCGCTTTTTTACCTGACGGAGTTTTCGCGCGCGCGCTCGCTCGCTCTCCCTCCCCTCTGGCTCGCTCGCTCGTTTTCTTTCTTTCCTTTTTTTTTTTCTTTGCGCTCGCCCGCGCGGGGCGCCTTTTCCGCTCGCGCCGCCCGCGCCCGCCTGCTCGCGCCCTCCTTCCTGCTGGGCCCGGCAGAGCGGGGCGGCCGGCAGCTCTCCCCGCCCCCCTGCACCCGCGCTCCGGCGGAGGCGGCGGCGCCGCTCCGCGCTCCGACTCATTCCAATATGGCACGGACGCAGGGCGCATGCGCCCGCGCCCCCCACCCACTCCCCCCAGCTCCGCGGTCCTCCGGGCGACCCGCTCCCCTCGCCTCGCGCTTGGGGCGCTCACGGCCCGACCTCCCCGCTGCCGCCGCCGCCTGTTCGCGGGGCTGGAGCTGCACAGGAGAGGAGGCGTCCGCGGGCCTGGGTCCATTGCTCTGGTCGCGTCCCCAGCCGGCACGTCGCCGAGGACGCCCGCGAGGCCGGGGCGGTGCGCCGTGGGCCTCTGATCCCCGACGGCGCCGTGAACTGAGCGCGGTCGGGAGCCGAGCTCTCGGGATGCAGAGGCGCGTCCTGGCCCCTGCTTGGTTTTTAGGAGAGAAAGACCTCACCTTGGCTTCTGGGCAGAGCGGCTCGGCGGGACCCAAAGTCCCTGATCCGTCCATCCCGGGCGAAGCGCGCCACTGTAGCCCGCACGTGACCACCTCGAGCAAGATGGCATTAGCAGAGAGGCAGCGGCTCAGCAGGTCCCCAATGGGCACGTGCCGCTGCCGAAAGGTCTGCGTCCGCCGCCCGGGCCACATCGGGAATCCCGCGTGTCCCTCTGAGACCTTACTTAGCTCTACCAAATGCGACTCGAGCACCTCGGCTTACCTGATGTCCAGGCTTGCTCAGGAGGCACAGGGTGACCTAAGATCTCCAGAGATCAGTCTCGAATCCGGAGGTGCCCACGGGCAGTCCGGTTCGGCGACTCAACCCTTCCTCAGCAAGCACTGGTGTCAGTAGGACGCACACACACCTGCTCCAGAAAGTTCCAACCCAGCACTCTAGGACCCGGGAGTGCCAATGAGACCAGACTCTCCAGCCCTAGATGGTCAGTCAGGGCTCCTGCCTCTGAGCGAAGAAGCGCCCACACAGACACGCACCCCACACACAATGTCTTAGGAGCTTTACACTAGGCATCATTCTGGTTTTGGCCACCTTAGGAAATACCCACATTACAAAACCCAGATGATTTTTTTTATAAGTACCACTGAAAAGACAAGGTAACAAGAAAAGAATGTAAAAAGAATATCTGTTTCTACACAATTGGATGTTCCCAAACAAAACCTTCTGCATAGATACTTCTGCATGCTTGCAAGCACACATTCTTTTATTTTCTACTTTCACTAACATGTTTTGCTTGCATGATCATTTTTAAGGTACGCAGTTCCTACATTTTTTGTGTTTTATTTCGTTGCGGTTATCTGCTTGCATATCCTTGAATTCTACACGTGGGGATTAATTTCTAGGAGTGGGGAAGTTTTCAGGTGGGAAGCTGTGAATGGCCCTGCATTGCCCCACTGGTTCTCATCAGCCAGGAACAGCATAAGGAATTTAATGCATGTTTCTAAACACTGAGCGACATCTTTTCTCCCCTACATTAATAATGCCTATATTAATAATCTTCAGCTATCAAGATTACCTTATTTGACATTTCTTGGATAACTAAACACTCAAAATGTCCCCATTTGCTCTCTATTTCCCCTTCTGTGAATGACCTGTGGTTCATATCCATTGTCTTGGGGAGCTGAATCTCTCCTAACTTTACACAAGGCTTTTTTTTTTCTGTTAAAGATGTTTTGCTTTTGTTTTTGATGCAAATATTGCCCAGCCTGATGTTCCTTTTCGTTTTAGTTTACAGTTCATTTGTCATTCTAGTCCTCTGGTTGTTGTTGTTTGGATGCTAACAGTGAGCTTTTATGTAACCCACCTGCTAGCTTGTATAATTTATGTGAATATTTTGTTATTTTATGATCACCTGTCCAATTTTATTTTTGCTGTATGTGGGAGTAAAATGTGGGTTTAATTCATCTCTATCACAATGGTTATTGTTTGTGCAGTCTCCATTTATTAAATAATTATCATCTTGTTCTTTGCTTAGCAAAACCTACTTGTTTGCTATACTTTTGCTTTCAGCTTGTGTATTTCAAAATCCTCCATTTCCTCCCATACACCTTGGTTTCAGTAAATACTGTATAGTTATAAATATTGGTTCTTTGAAATAAGTTTTTACATCTGACAGGGGTCAGTTCTTCTTGAATAGCACTGGTTTACATACCCGTACACATTCTAGGGTAATCAGATAAGGGCATTGCTTGTGAGGGCCTGAGAGGTGGCTCACAGTTAACGTGCATATTGCCCTTGGGGCAGGGGACCCACAGTTCAGTTCCCAGCACCCATATGGAGTTCACAGCTGCCTGTGCTTGAGCGCCAGGTTATCCAGTCCTCAGCACTCACACCCGTGCCCACATAGAGACACATAATTACAAGTAAAATAAATCTAAAAAAGAAAAAACATGGGCTTGGAGGATAAACCAGGTTCAACACTGTGCAACCCTGTGACCTTGGCAAGTTATTGCCCCAGGCCTTACAGTTTGGGTCTGTAAATCGGGATCAAGTAACACAACCTCACAAGCTCACTGGTTGGCACTCAGTAAATCCTTAATGTTGGCTACTGCTGGCAATCATGTTTTCTGTTCCAGAGAAGTATATGTATGAAAATGTAACAATGAAACCCATTTCTCTGTACTCTAACACTGATGATGATGATGATGATAGCTAAAGGTATCAATACTAAGGTCGGAGCTGGGAGTGATGCTCTGTGGCCTGTAGGCCCAGCACCTGGGAAGCTCCAGAAAAGTAGTCCAATCCCGATGGCATAGACCTTTAATCCTAGAACTCAGGAGGCACAGACAGGAAGATCTCTGTTAATTCAAAGCCAGGCTGGTCTATATAGCAAGTTCCAGATCAGTCAGCTACATAGAGAGGCCCTGTCTCCATACATACACACAGACACACACACAGTTGCAACTGACATGGAGTTACATTAATCTAGGAACTTCTTTGTTTGTTTTTGTTTTTGGAGACAGGGTTTCTCTGTGTATCTCTAGCTGTCCTGGAACTAGCTCTTGTAGACCAGAATCTCGAACTCACAGAGATCCGCCTGCCTCTGCCTCCCAAGTGCTGAGATTAAAGGCGTGCGCCACCACTGCCCGGCAACATTTCATTTTTCTAACCAGGACCTACTTAGACTTTTAGTGTATTCAAATCCTCAGAAGCCAAGTCCCTTGTTGCCTCCAGTATTTCTCCACTGCTCACCTGGTGACCCCTAATGAAGAAGGGCAAGGGCGACAGGAACTGCTGAAATTTCCATCTGAACACTTGTCTTTTGTTGCATCTGTGTGAATGTGGGTACATACCCCTTCCAAGGTCCCTCCAGAAAGGTCATGGGTGTTTTCCCTAGAACAAACTAGGAGATTTCAGGTCATCCGCAAGGAGAGACAAAGTTAGGCCACAAGGGCTGCCAGTTCCTCAACCCTTTTAAAACTATGTGTTCACTTACTGGGGGGGAGGGGTACAAGTGTGGGTGTGTGCCTTGGCACCATATGGAGGTCAGAGGACAAGCTAGGGAGCTGGTTCCCTCCTTCAGTCATGTAGATTTCGAGGCTTGAATTCAGATCAGCAAGCTTGGCAGCTACAGCACCCTAACCTACCGAACCCGTCTCAGCAGCCCCAGATCCTCTGCCACTGGGAAACTTGGATTGGGGTGGCTGATTGAAGAGGCACATGAAGACTGGGTAACATGGCAGCCTGATTTATGGTCATAATACCCCCCCCCATGAAGGTCCTCCAAGGTTTCCGGGTGTACTTTGTACAATTCAGAGAGCTTCACTTGGAGCTGCTGTGGGATTGGCCCCGTTCCTTCTTCCACTGCGTCCCACTCGCCCACTTAATCAGCTGCACCGGTGTTTGCCAACTTGATCACCAGAGACAGTGTTTTAGCTGCAGCAGTTTCCTTTCCCTCCTGTAAGTATGGCACAACCCTTCCTGCCACAGGGCACCGCCTGGCACACTCCATCCTGCCTCCTGTATTCACCTTCCCATAGTTACCATCATCTCATTGTTCCAGTACCACTTTAATGAGGTAAGTAATTCCTTAGGCCTCTG